TTAACGTTAATACACATTAACTTCTAATTTTAAAATTTTAATATTAAACCGGGTTGGACGCCTAGTAATTTAATTTTTCTAAGCAACTCCAACCCTTTCCTCCCCATCGCGTATATTATTCAGATTTGATGTATTTTGTTGAATGTTATTTCATGTTGGCTTTTAGTAAACAATAAACGTTGAAGACATTAGTTGATGTTATAAAACTGGTTTCAAAAATTAGCTATAACAGCAAAGCGTAAACAGGCTAACCATCTTGAATCAAATTATTTAAAAACCCAATAGGAATATTATTTATTTCATTACGGTTATATGTTAAAATAATATCAGTACTTAAATAAATTTTGACATCACACGGTAGACGACAGTATAACTGACATTAAAAGGTAAATATAATCTTCCATCATTAAAAGTTTTCCAAATATATAAAAAATGAAAAAGACACACAATAAACTGATACTATTTATTAAATAATTACTTACGAGTTTTGTGGTAAATTATTACAACCGCCTGAATTATTACATCCCGCCATTAAAAACTCAAAACGAGGTTGCGCTTTCAGGTTATAGCTGTTAGAGGTGTACCTAATACGTCCGTATTGACATAAACATAAACAACGAGAAAGACGCTTTGAGGACAAGAATTCGAGAACTAAAGTTTTCCTGGTCTCTTGTGATATTTCAACTTCATATTTTTGATAGGTAATATAAGAAAGGTTATATAAAAAAGATTGATAATAATAGAAATTATACAACTGTAAAATAACTAGTTATATATTTACATAATTATTGAATTATTACCTTGGTCTAAGGTGATAATTCAATAATTTTATGTAAATATATAACTAGTTAGTTTACAGTTGTATAATTTTTATTATTTCAATTCAAGTTTCTATTAATTTCTATAATTTCTATTAATTTCTATTATTTCAATTCTATTATTTCAATTCAAATTGTATAATTTCTATATTTCAATTCGCATGTTCGCGCCGTCTCAAATCGAGTGAGTTACTTAGACTTGGTCTAAGGCTTAGACTAAGTCTAAGTAAATCACTCGATTTGAGACGGCGCGAACATGCGAATCGATGTTGTGATAATGTTATTTATTGATAGTGATAGAAGTTATACAACTATAAATAATTGGTCATACATCTACAACTACTTTTATATCTGCCTGAAATGTCACCTTCCTCTTAAATCACTAAACTTGCGCCTGAATTATCATATCACCCCTAGTAAATCAATCAATGATAGTGGTAATTGTATTGCGTGATGATGATAGAAGTTATGCAACTGTAAATTAATTAGTCATTTGTTTACTTGAAATACTCTACAAATATTCTTTTTATCTGTCTGAATTATCACCTTTTCCCTAGTAAATCTAAATACTAGACTGAAGTATTCCCTCCCTTTAGTAAATCAATCAGTATAAGATGGTGTGATAATATTATTTAGTGATAGTGATTAAAATTATAAAACTACAAATAATTAGTCATACATTTACATGAAAATATTCTACAAACACTTTTGTATTTGTCTGAACTACCACCTCCCCACAAGTAAATCACTAAACTTGCACCTAAATTATTACCTCCCCCTAATACATCAATTATAATGAGATAATGGTATTGTGTGATAATGATAGAGAATAAAGAAATTTAAATTAATTAGTTCTTATTTTAAATAATTGTAAATATTTAGCATTAATATTTACAATTATTTAAAATAATAATTTAAAAAAGAACTTTTTTATAACTTTCAATGAACATTAGGTAGTAGATTATTAAAACTTATATATTAAAAGAAAACTTTAAAAATATAATAACTTATAGATAATCAACATTTGACATTTCAAGATTTCATTGACAAATCCTAGAAACATTTACAATTTATTACCATCCTAGATAAAAAAAAAATTTAGAATTAGAAATGTTTTATTATTCTCACTAAGAAAAAAAGCAACTGTTTCCCCTGAGCACTATGTAAATTCCCTGATTTTTACTAACTCAGTTAAAAAAGGCACTTTTGCTTATGACTTTCCCTCAAGGTATAAATCATGATTGTTATTTCATGTTAAAACAGAACACAAATTTAGCTAAGCCAGCGTAACCACTAGTTAAAAATGAGGGCAAAAATAAGGGTTTCAATTAAATTTAAAGAATAATTTCAATTTATCATGAAATTTAATAGCAAACAGCAAAAAATTACATATAATAAATAAGAAGAAACTTTCTATACAGAATCTTTTTAAAATAAATAACAAACATACCTTCTGCCAGTAATCTTCATCTTTTTCATTGATTTGACAACAACCATCCAGAAAACATCACACTATCACAAGATGAGTCACTAAAATCGAACATGAACATAACTTTTTGAATACATTTAAGTAACAATAAAATACAAAGATCACTGCCACTAAAAAGCATCCCATGTTGATTAATTTACTAGGAGGTAATAATTCAGACGCAAGTTCAATGATTTACAAGGGTGATTAGATTATTTTCAAGTAAATACCTGACTAATTAATTTAAATTTCTTTATTCTCTATCATTATCACACAATACCATTATCTCATTATAATTGATGTATTAGGGGGAGGTAATAATTTAGGTGCAAGTTTAGTGATTTACTTGTGGGGAGGTGGTAGTTCAGACAAATACAAAAGTGTTTGTAGAATATTTTCATGTAAATGTATGACTAATTATTTGTAGTTTTATAATTTTAATCACTATCACTAAATAATATTATCACACCATCTTATACTGATTGATTTACTAAAGGGAGGGAATACTTCAGTCTAGTATTTAGATTTACTAGGGAAAAGGTGATAATTCAGACAGATAAAAAGAATATTTGTAGAGTATTTCAAGTAAACAAATGACTAATTAATTTACAGTTGCATAACTTCTATCATCATCACGCAATACAATTACCACTATCATTGATTGATTTACTAGGGGTGATATGATAATTCAGGCGCAAGTTTAGTGATTTAAGAGGAAGGTGACATTTCAGGCAGATATAAAAGTAGTTGTAGATGTATGACCAATTATTTATAGTTGTATAACTTCTATCACTATCAATAAATAACATTATCACAACATCGATTCGCATGTTCGCGCCGTCTCAAATCGAGTGATTTACTTAGACTTAGTCTAAGCCTTAGACCAAGTCTAAGTAACTCACTCGATTTGAGACGGCGCGAACATGCGAATTGAAATATAGAAATTATACAATTTGAATTGAAATAATAGAATTGAAATAATAGAAATTAATAGAAATTATAGAAATTAATAGAAACTTGAATTGAAATAATAAAAATTATACAACTGTAAACTAACTAGTTATATATTTACATAAAATTATTGAATTATCACCTTAGACCAAGGTAATAATTCAATAATTATGTAAATATATAACTAGTTATTTTACAGTTGTATAATTTCTATTATTATCAATCTTTTTTATATAACCTTTCTTATATTACCTATTAAAAATATGAAGTTGAAATATCACAAGAGACCAGGAAAACTTTAGTTCTCGAATTCTTGTCCTCAAAGCGTCTTTCTCGTTGTTTATGTTTATGTCAATACGGACGTATTAGGTACACCTCTAACAGCTATAACCTGAAAGCGCAACCTCGTTTTGAGTTTTCAATGGCGGGATGTAATAATTCAGGCGGATGTAATAATCTATCACAGTATTGAGCAAAAGTTATTTTTGTTAATGGTCATAACAACACACTAGAACAAAACAATAATAACAAAATTAACTTTAAAAACTGGTAGTGTAATATTACTAGTAAAATAATTTACCTCAATTAGGTAGAATTCAAATTTTTTCTTAACTGTTGACAAATGATTAGTAAAGTAAGTTTCAAATAAAGAAAGTCTACTAAATTAAAACCATGTTTCAACAGTAGGTAAACAAATAAAACGATGACAAAGGTAGAACTAAAAAAAAATTCTTTATTTAAGACTATTAAGATATTTTAGACTAAGAACAAACAGTTAAGTAAACTTAAGAAAATGTAATTTGTTAAAATAATGTGACGACTAATATTTATACTATGTAATAATTCTTTACCGGTATATTGTTTGCATATGGTTTACTAAATGAACACAGCAAACTGAATCTTAAAAGAAGTAAATAATCTAGTTCTTGAAAAAGCAAGCTCCTATAATATATATAGATTAAATATCTATTTAAAAGTCATAAATAATAAAAAAGCTAAAAGTACGACAGGCTGAACCGATAAATGCATATAAAAAAAAAAATTAGTTTCGAGTTAATAAGTAATTCAAGTTTATTTCGATGAAAGAAAATCAAAAAAAATTTTAAACATGCTTTTAAGTATGTATATGAGCTATTATTATTTTAAAATGTTTGCTAATATTAAATACAGATAAAAACATTAATATTAAATCCTTAATCCGTTTTTGTTTTCATTTAAAAATATTATTGAACTAAATAATTTAGTCAATTAAATACAAAACTAACAATCTAAAATAACACAAAAAATTAAACACAAAAAATGTTAAAAATCCGACTTTCTCATATTTAAAAATATATCATCGCCATGATATTTAAAATTTATCAGATAGTGTAGATAGTAATAGATTTTCAAAACAATCATCTACAAAAAGATAGAAACAACCTTCTTTCATTATTTTAGTATCCTAAAAAAACTAACCTAGGCTTATCTATTAATAAATTAAATAAACAGATCATTTGATAAAATCAAACTATCATCTAATATAATAAACAGGTTCAAGTCACAAAACTGATTATGCAGATATATAGAGATTATGAAAGATTCAAAAGAACTTTACCAAATGTTTAATATATAATAAAATATTAGGCTATGTGTACAAAAGCTTTATATAAAAGACCTCATGTCAAAACCTGCACAAATGAGCAATAAGTATCTCATAACAATATAGATTATGAAATTATTAGGAACTGATAAGAATCCTTAAAAATGACTTAAAAAACGAATAAAAACAACAAAAAAGTTATCCTAGAAATAGAACATACTACAATTTTCCTTTTTCAGTACGAATTTTTACAATCAAGGACTTGAGACCAAATCTTTCTAACAACTGCTTGTACTCAGGCACAGACTCGAAATGTGCTTTCACATTTTTAATCCAAGGTTGTTTTGAAACAATAAATTCCTTTAAATACAAATCAACTAACAATAAGTCATCTTGGCTAAACTCCTTTTGATTTCGTTTAAAAGAATTTAAAGATGAAATGGAAGAACCCGCCAGAACCCCACCCCGCCCAGCAGACCGGCCACCATCTTTTTTATATTTGACTTTTGAATCTAAACAAACAAAATCGGAATCATCATCTGAAGCTTTATTTTTTTTAATTAGATAACGGACGTTATCTAACACTTTTTTAACTTTTTTTGAGCCAGATGCATCACCAAGTAAGTACTAAGTAAATTTTTCCCTGATATCAGAAGTTGTTATAGTACCACTACAAATTTCAGCTTCAAAAATCAAGCTTAATGTACATGCTTGATCTTCTGAAACTGCTGTTCCTCTCACAACTTCTCTAAGCTTTGTACTTGTTTCTACAGCATTAATTTTCTTATCAATAATTGCATAAGATTACTCAGCTGTTTTTAAATTGTGGCACAACAAATTAGCAGTATTTTGTTTCATCTCTGGATACTTTTCATGAACCAAAGTTGTCGTATATTTTCTGAGAACGGTTGGAGTTAGACAAGTTTTACCGGTACCTTTTTGCCAAAAAGATGAAAATTATGCAGAAAGCATGTATAGTAATGGCATAAGATTACTCAGCTGTTTTTAAATTGTGGCACAACAAATTAGCAGTATTTTGTTTCATCTCTGGATACTTTTCATGAACCAAAGTTGTTGTATATTTTCTGAGAACGGTTGGAGTTAGACAAGTTTTACCGGTACCTTTTTGCCAAAAAGATGAAAATTATGCAAAAAGCATGTATATTAAACTCCCATTCCAGCATAAAAATACACAAGAACTGATATCTTTGGATACCCCTTCAAACATATTACGCATAAATGTTATGTACTTCTCAACTTTCATATATAAAGAGTGAGTTAATACAATATCAGCTGGTCCTGTATAGCTAGTTTTATGTTTCATCACACTTACAGTGAAACAACCTTTTTTTTCAGAGGCATTTTTAAACTCATTTAATGTCATATTGCATATTGCACCGGGACGAGAGGCATTGTCAAATATAATACATGTTACTAAATAATCCCGAGCTAGACAAAATTTAGCTTTTGTGGGTTTAAGAACATTGCTCTTATTAATAACTTTGTTTGCTTCACAAACAACTTCTGAAGTAACTAATATAAGAATTTCTTCAGCAGATGGAAAATGTTCAAAATCATTTTGATCTTTTTCATATCGTTGTTCTTGTATAGATTTCCATAAAGTTTGTGCCCATTTTGAAATTTGGGTTTTTATTTTTGTATGTTTTTCAGTTGTAATTATGTCTAACTTTTATTTGACAATACAAAAGTCAAGAAAATGTTTAACAGATCCTAGATATGTTCTAACTGTACCAGGCTTTTTGTTCTTGTTATTTAACTTTATCATTCATGAACATAAAAATGAATGACAACCAAGATTACTGTAACTAAACTCAGATTCATTTTCATGTTGTACAATGCCTAGAATTATACCTTTGTGTTTAATTGCACTTCTTATTGGCTTACACCCCCCCATCAATACTAACTAGCCATTAAACAAATTCCTTCATGAGCTGGTCTTCTAAACACAAGGTCATATAAAATTTCTCAGACAGGTCATCAAAATTAGCTAATTTATTGGAATCATCAGACAAATGATAACTTGTATCACTAATAAAATTTTCAGTGCAATTCAGCGTATCTATAAAAAAGAAATTAAAATTAAACAATAATAAACATATTTATACCTTAAAACAAATTTTTCTTGACTCTATTTTTTTATCTATATGATTTTTGTGTTGATAAATTCACTATTTAATTAATATTTTTTATTTAACAGAAGTTGTAATTAATGTGTAATGTAAAAACAAAACATAACATTTTAAAGTTAAAAAAAAAAATCATTGATTCAAGTATTGTTTTATAGAATTTGTTGCTTAACTAAACTCTACCTTTAAACCTAGTGGCAACATACTGTGAAGCCAACCAATCTTTTGCTCATCCCAATCGTGTTTTCTTGATATCAAATGTCTTTTCAAGTGAGTAACTGACCTGAAAGCAACATTAAAAAGTAAATAACTTTAAAAAATTAAAAACATTTAAAAGTATTAGTATTATTTAAAGCCAAGCTTATTTAATCATTGTTAAAATCAATCATTATCAAATCATTATTAAAAGCTAATCAAATTTAAAAATGTTAGTAATTTTATTAAAAACCTAAAAGTATTTAAAAAAGTCACTCTCCACACTTAGGACATATAACTTTACATCGAAGTGTCTGAACTTTTTTTGCACAAAGCTAAAATAGTTGAAGAATACAATTATAAAACTTTTTTAAAAATACATAGCATCATCTTCAGACTAAGTCAGTGCACATTACAATCACAGATAAGTTTTATCTATCAACATAATAATCTAATGCAGAAAATGTGCAATTGTAATAGCAATCAGTATTTTTTTGTATATTGATTTTTTTTATTATTTTATATAAAATTCTTACACAACATGCATAATGCTAATGAGAAACATGACTGCAATTGTAGTGCATACCAACTTAGTTGGGTGACAATGTTCTATATAATTATATATTATACTTTAGTAACTAGTTTATGCTAATTTTTCTTGTGATTGCATAACAATAACTGATGGATTTTTTTTTATATTTATTATTTGTAAGCATAGACTGAAATAAAAAAAAGTGAAGACATATACCTTGATTTTTTCCATTGGCTTTTAATTAAAAAATATATATAACTAATTAGTTTTTTGTAAAAATGTTATTTTACTTTAAAAAGTATTTTACTTTAAAAACTTAGGAGAAACAGAGACGCTTAAATATTTTATTTTGTCCTGGTAAATATTATGTATCATTAATAGATATAAACCTGTCCTGTTTACAATGCCTTATCTTTTTGTTTGCTTATATTTTATATCTCTTCATTTTCATTATTTCCAACTTCTTTTATCCAAAACTGAAGTTTTTAAATTCTGATGATAATGATGATGATGATGATGGTGATGATGATGATGACAACTTTCAAGTTAAATTGACAATTTGAGAATTAAAACAAATGCATAAAAATATTAATTGAGAATTAAAATAAATGTTTACCTTTCCTTTATTAAATGTAATACTTGTCTCTGAAGTAAAAATAAATAATAATAACAACATTGATAATAACAACAATAATACTAATTAGTAAATATAAAAATAACAATGATTCTATTAATAAATAATGATAATAATAATATTTAACAATTTTTTTAATTATAAATTTTAGGAAAAACAATAATCAATGTCTGATTATTGAATAATTAAAGGCTATAGCCTTTAATTATGCTAGCGCTAGCGGTAATTGCCGGCAGTTTCTTAGTTTTGTTGTTAGAAAAACAATTTAAATTATGTATTTATTTATTTAATTTACTTTTATAACTTTTTTACGCCAGTATTAAAAAAATGAAAACTTTTTTTGTTAATTATATACTGCCTGCCCAAACCAAAACCCTCAGTCAATCTATCAATCTATGTACAGGTTTAACCCTATCAAAGTCAGTCAGTGGTGTGTATATTTTACTTTGTCCATCCCTTTTCAATTCAGTCTTTAAATTTAGACTTTGTCGCGTTTATACCTAAATCAATCGTAAGCATACACTTTTTTGTTTTGCCTATGGCTATATCAGTTGTTGTATGTACACTTTAAGGCACCTATTAAACTTAAATCTAATAAATGGAAATTATCAATAAACAAAAATTAACAAACACTAATTATGGGTAATACTAATAAAAATTAGTACTGTTTGAAATAAAACATAAATTTTCACGAAAAAAAAGAAATATTTAGATTGCTTCGAACTCGGGTCGCCACCGTGAAATAAATATATGAGTGGGTCAGAAGCCAAGGGGTACAAGTGACAATTTTACCAAAATTAAGTTAAGTATAGAATTTGATAGAAGAAGCAAACAAAATTGTTGGTGGCCAAGGGATACAAGTGAATCTCTACTGCTTTCTACTGGAAAAACATAACAACAGCTGAGTATATTTAACAAAAATACTTTAACTTTAAACAGCTGTATCTCAAAACTATAAAAATGTCACTTGTACCCCTTGGCTTCTGACCCACTCATATCATTTTCACAATGCTACGCAAGCATTTTATGTTTTGCAGTTTTTAACTTCATATTTTAAATTATACTGCCGGTGTAGTATGAGATTTTTACTCCCGTGTTTTTTTTACTCCCCAGTAAAAATATCGTATGAAGTTTTTACCGCGGAGTAAAAAAAAGCATATGAGATTTTTACTCTCACTATTTTATTTTTACTCTCAAGTTGTTATTAGCGGAATTGCATATCAATAAAACATGCACTCTAGATTTGCAGACATTTTTAGTTACTTAAAATACCAAATATATCCAAAAGAAGTTTTAAATAAAGGCGATAAAGCCAATTTTAGAAGACAAACTAAGCCATTTATAGTTGATAATAATGAGTTATATCATTTAAATAAAGCTGCAAAGGTATGCTATTATTTCAAAATGTTTTAATAGTTTTGCCATTTTGCAACTAGAATCTAGTCACCAAATAAACACGAATATTTACAAATAATTTATTTAATAAATAATGAAAATTAATTTAGTTTTGATTCTCATTATATTGATGGTTTTCAGCTTCTTTTTTTTATAGAGAAAAGTTATTTGGAGTAGAGATGAGCAACAAAACATAATAAAGTTTGTTCATGAAGGAAACGATGTCTCTGTTGAGTTTTATCTGGTCATACAGGTATTAATAACACAACCTATCACATTCAAAGTAGATTTTTCTGGTATGGAATGATAAAAGATATTACAACTTATGTTTCCAAATGTGACCAATGCCAAAAGTCAAAGAACAGAAAACTTCAGTCGAAACCATTGCTGCAAAATATTTCAATTCCTAAAGGCAATATGAAGCAGGTAGGAATCGATTTAACACAGCTACCAGAAGTTAATGGTTGCAAATATCTGGTTGTATTAATCGACTACTTCAGTAAATGGGTTGAAGCAGAAGCACTTACCGATAAAACTGCTAAAGCTGTGTGGCTTTTTTTTTTTGTATAAACAGATTTGTCGACATGGCTGTTTTGAAATTCAAATAAATGACCAAGGTCGTGAGTTTGTAAATGAAATTTCTAAAGAACTTTACTCAAAAACAGGAACAATTCAAAGAATTACAAGTGCATATCATCCTCAAGCTAATGGATTAGTAGAGAGACAAAATCAAATAATTAAACTTATATTAGTAAAAGTGCTTGATGAGGCTGCTTTGGAATGGCCATACATTATTGATAGTGTTTTGTTTTCTTTAAGAGTTAAAAAGCACAAATCTACTGGGTTTTCACCGTTTGCATTGCTTTACCAAAGGGAAGCAGTTCTTCCTATTGATATAGATTGCAATTTAATTGACTTTAATGATAGTAACGCTCTTAGCAATGATGATTTCTCTAACAAAAAAATAGTTTCAGATACCTTTCATGCAATGAATAAAATGAAGAATAAAATTTTTGACGATGCTTATAAAAATATTGAAAAATCTTAAAAAAGACAAAAACATGATTACGACAAGAGAATTGCACCAAATAATGAAATTAGCATAAATAAAAAAGTGTTACTAAGAAATAGCAGACGTGATGATAGAAAAGGTGGTAAACTTGTAAAGCCTTGGACTGGACCATACATTGTAACTTCTATTTCTAGCACAAATAACTGCACTTTGAAAAATCTAAAGGGTCAAATTTTGAAAACAAAGTACAACTTGACAAAGTTATGTTTATATAATGAAAAATAACTAATGATGAACAAGAAATCACATTTGATGAAATTAATATGCAAATTTCTAATGATAAGATCGGAAAATATGCAACTATTGAAATGAGAACTTCTATTTCTGAAAAATTTGGAATTGGTATTACCAAAAATATTTTTATTGCAGATATTAATCTACTTTCACGTCCGAAACAAATTCACAAAACCATAGGCGATGGTAATTGCTTTTTTAGGGCAATATCGTATATCATTACAGGCAGTGAATGCAGTTATGAAATTATAAGAGAAAAAGTTGTTAAACATATGTATACTCATATTAATAATAAAAATGACTTTATATATGAATCAATCAATAATAACGTATCTAAATGAAAGTGGTATGAGTGATAACACAACTTGCGCAACTGATGCAGAAATAATTGGGTGTGCCTCGTTCATGGGTATTGATATAAAAGTATATAGCAAATATGGAGAGAAGTTGAAATGGCTGACTTACCCATGTAGTTTAACACTTACACAGCTTAGTGAACATGCTATATTCCTTGACAATTCAACTGCAAGTCACTTTAATGTTGTACTGTTGTAAAATATTATCAAAAAAAAAAAAAAATTATAAATTACCTTCTTTTTATAATTTTTAGACATTTTTTAAATATATTTTTATTTTAAGTCTGTAAACAAATGTTTTAAAAACGTAAAAATAAGCGAATTTACAACAGTATGTAGGAGAAGGAATAAAAATGTTTGTCTTTTTAAATTTGGTCGCAATACTTTTTCATATGCCTGACTGATTCCACATTAGTAAAGCGAAAGCAAAGAATCCAGAAATAAACCTATATAACAATGTGTTTAATTAAAAAAAAAATCTTAACCCTATCTGATACATAGGGTAACCTAGGATAAATTTTTTTTTTTTTTTGCAGATGTGAATTGTTAAATAAAAAAAGTCAGAAAGAAATAAAAAGCTGCGATTTTCTATTTTACTTTACATACAAAAAGAGCTGGATTTACCAATAGGATAAGTAGAATTCAGCCTAGAGCCTTAGATTTTTGAGTGCTCCAAAATGGTTTCAAAGAATGTTTGCTAGGGCTTTTAGAGAGTTATTAAAAAAGTATTACTTCATGATTGCAATAACTGCTACACAATTCACTCATTCACTCAACAGTTATAAAGTTCTATTTAAACAAACAATGACAATTTTAATATTAAATGCCTTGAAGATTTATTATGCATGAAAGAACAAATCTATATTAAAGCCATAGCGCTAATTAAAAAATAAAAAACAAAACAAAAAACGAAGTGTAATCAGGGTGTAAATCCAGCTCTGAATACAATGATAATATATATTAACTTATACCTTGTAAAGAGTAGGAACTTTGCAGTACTTCAGCCTAAAACATAAAAGATTTAATAAAAGTGTAATTATATAAATATATACATACATACCAAAACACACCGCACACAGACACACACGCACGCACACAAACACGCACGCACGCACACGCATCTAGAAACATAATGTAAAATTTAAATAAGCATATTCTTGAAACACCTTCTACTTTTGCAAAAAAATACAGTATCGCTTTTGGAAGCAATACTTTAAATGTATAATCATTAAACTAAATAAAAAAGTGCATTTCTTGTCTTTTCACTATGCTTTGTGAAAATTTTTTTATTAAAGAATATATTGATGGCATAGTGCACAGATGTGGTAAGTGCAAGATTAAAAACAGTAAAAACTGTCATTTGCGCGCGTAATTATAATAATAAGAGTTTTTGTATTTACCACATATTGTCAATTAGTAGAATCTTTATCGTTTATCGTACACATACCATATTTATGCACGACAAACTATAAAACACGTTTTTTTGCATACATATCTCAATTTGACGCAAATTTGTACTTACCATATCTGTGTACTATGCCATCGATATTTACCTACTAAATGTGTGTGTGTGTGTGTGTGTGTGTGTATATATATATATATATATATATATATATATATATATATATATATATATATATATATATATATATATATATATATATATATATATATTGATAACTATTTTTTGTTTCTGGTATCCAGAAGCTCTAAACAAGTTGGTTGATTAATGATCTGCTATAAGAAAAAAAGTAATGATATTTAATGACTTAGAACTTATTGTTTTTAATTCTGGAGTCCTTGCCGCCATTATACTCCGGGTTCAAAAATTGATTGTTCTTCTGAACTATAAGTCTTGATTTTTTCCCCATTAGTAGCCCATAAGCTTTTTTATGTTTTTAAAGCTTCTGGATACCAAAACCTTGAAAGAAGTAAACTTTTTGTGACTTTTAAATCTGG